GTTTTAATTACCTCTGTCTGCCCGTTCTACCCGCGTTCCTTATCTTGGCCTCGACCACAACTTGTCCCTTGTTCCCTTGACACTAGTGGTCGATCACTCGATCTAGGCCAGTCCAGCTTTCCATATCATCATTGTCTCTTTTCTCACATACATAGCCTAAAAGACTCATCACCGACCACGAAAGCGGCTAACGTATCTGTCGAGGCTTAGACAGTATCTGTGGGATAGACGCGTTATGGGGTTTGAGATTGATGACACGGCACTCACTCAGCCTTGAACATACATCATCTGCATAGCCTTTGTGATTTAATGCCATTCATTATCTAGTTACAGTAGTCCGTCTAGTCTACGATGAGGCTTTTAACCTTTAATAACCGTGTGTCTACTCATTCCTTCTCTGCTCAGTCCCTGCGATTTGTTGGGTGAGGGGGAATAATCCAGGCTGCGCCACTAGCCCATCGTCATCAGGTACAGGAACGCCATCAAATCGTCTTCCCCTGGCCATCTCTCTTCTCGGATTCGACTTCTATACTTGCAATTCAGTGATGCACGACATCAAAAGTCAAAACCCTTGCAAGATTCACTGTCACATCAACCATACATTCTCACCAACACCAAATCTTATAGCACACGATAGACTCTCCACTCTACCATTATATCGCAGCTATAAATCTTCCCCAAAAAGGGTCCTCAACTAGCATCTCTTTAACTTGCGCCACGATTTCTATAGCGTCCTCTTTGCCCCTCTCCTCATCTTTATCAACCCCTCCTTCTCCTCTTTCCCCCGCCTTGATGGCTTTACAGGTCCTCTCGTGCTCAAGTCAGGTGGGAATAGACTCGTAGTAACTGAAATGGATCTCCAACACTGCCTCATGCACAGATAGACGCCTTCGTCTATGTGTCTTATCTTTCTCTTCCCCCACCAGGTACAGTCAGTAACTAGTCATTACAAATACGCCTCTTTCTGAACGGCCAGCCAGTTATTGGTCCAGACACGCAGAAAAATCTGTGTAAATCTCTTCAAATATGTCATTTGAGTCTTTAATATCCCATCTCCATCGTCTCCGTTCACCTTATCCTCAAAAGGTATACCGAGTGGAGATTACTAACTCACCTCCGGACTGTCATGTCATGTCATACTTCAAACCCACAGGCCAGCCTGGGCATGATGACATCTGTATCCACCTGTTGAAGAAACTTTCTTGTTTGACTCGAAATTAACATGTAGACTGGATATGCTATATACACTCCTATCAAATTGAGTTGTGCGTTTCTTGCATTCCATGTTAATCATTGTGCAGGTAGCATCAGCTCCACGTACATATACATATACGGATAGAGTGTGTTCCAGCTACCAGTATCAAAGGATTTTTGAAACGAGCTACAAGTTTCGTCATAGTACTTCAGAATTGTTTTCCACAAAAGGTGAAGATGATATATTACTACAGTCAGATCATAACGGATAGAATGATCAACTGCATCCTCACCCTTGCGGTTATGTTCATTGAGAATTAGACTTTGAGAAGCGCCCCATCAAATGTTCATTGAGACACTTCATGTCAGGCTGGCCGCAAAGTAAGGACTTGAAGAAGATCAGGCGAAAATAATAGCACCTCCTAGACCAGATACTCGCTAAAGCTACTATGGTATTTCTATTATCAATTTGAACAGTATTGATTCGAATGCGACCCACGTGAACCTCACTTGAGGCTCTTCGGCCGGAATTGCTGTCGAACGAATCATCGTCGCGATATAGACGAGTCCCTGCCTCTATACATTGAAACACGGTACGAACCGTCTTGGCTGAAACTCGAATTCTCTCAAGGTGAGGCTGGTTTCGTTTCGATCATATCGTCGGCTCGTGGCTATGTTGTTTCATGATCTGCATTCTGATACACTAATAGTGCGGGAAAGAGGCACTTGGATTGACTTTGTTTCATAGAATTAATATTGTAATGAATTTAATGTCAAGTTACAACTATGACTGTCACTTCGTCGCTGTGAGTATGTTGTTCTTTATGAGATTGAAATATATAGGAGCCTGTTAGGCTCTATGGACGTGCATGTAGAGGATGTACTAAACACTGTATAACAATAAGAGCAATATCAAAGTATTATTATCTAGTGTAAAAAGGCTATATCTTATATCTCACTGTGAGGTCTTAGTATTAACGCAACAGTCTTATAGTCTCACTGACCTTGACTGCTATCTATCTTACTATTATACTTCGAGAGTAATACTACCATGGTCACAGGTATTCTTTTCTATGAAGACTGATAGTGTACTGTTAGACTTATATAGAAAGTCCGTAATTGAGAAAGATTGCCGGATTGTTTCAAACCTTTATATGCATCAATTGGATAAAAATGTGAACGCTGAGTGATGCATTAAAGTGTCACGGCTGCACTCGTCGCTTTGCCGAGCATCATCGCATCGTTATACCGCTTACAATACATACTCACCTTTCTCATTCAAGTATATTCATTAGTCCTATACTACGCTTCGCAAGAAAAGCGCCACTTTCGAGAATCATGAATATAGGCTGGTGACTATAGTTGTGATCTAGGAACTGTAAAAGTCGTCAGATATCAGCCTAACTGTCATTCGAGTGACTTCTAGAAACTAGCAATTGACTCTGCGTTTGTTTCTTTAATAATAGCGTAGCTTTTCTGTTGGTGTCACTATTCTTCAAGATCCGAGTGATGCTCTGTCAAGGTCCATAAGATCAAACCACCAAGTTTAGAATATACACTCAACAGCACAGACCCAGAAGATTTCAAATCAATATTACAATCCTTCAGATCAATTATAGCCTAATCGTAAGTTACCTTACCGCGATTATCTCATGTTCGGAACCCTCCTATTAGGACATGGATGTGTTGTGTCCTCTCTACAGGGTAGCTATTGAAGTTGCGGTGTGAGTAAGGAATCCACAAGTTTCCACAGACAACGCCGATAGAGGTTAATCATTGGAATGTATTAATCTTTCGTATCTTTTTGGTCTATCAGGCATGTTCTGACAGTTGTATTTGCCATGGTTGCTGTCAAAGCTCAGAGTTTCACACGTCACCCAGACGATGCCAGATGGCATAACGACAACCGCACTATTGGAAACCCGTTGTGGCGACAACAGTGACAAAGGGAATTATAATAGGACAGAATCTGTGTGTCTAATAACCGTCGTGACGTGTTGGCAGGCATCCTATCATAGATTTATTGTTAGCCCGTAAACCATATGCATCAACAACTTCGATTTATAGTCCAGCTCCTACGGGTAACCTTCCGCAACCTAAACATGGCTCCATCTCACGATACAGGGGAGAAGGACGCTTAGTGCAGGTACCATAGATGTCAGCCTATCATAATTGACAGTATTACGAAGCCCACGATGAAAGCTCCCATGCTGCATGCTTATTCCGATAGCAGCTCCGGCAGCACCTTGTACTTCCCCGAGGCATGCCAATGCCCCGCCATGATATTTCGCCTATTGAAGGAACAGTTAAAAAAAAGAGCGATTATATGCCAAGTAAACACAAAGATATATGTTGGAAGGACCCTTATGAGAACTTCGTGTTGATTGTAGTCGCGTAGACGCTGAGTTATGAAAGAGTTGTGTTACATCAGCATAACTAGATCTCCTTCCAACTATTTGTATAATGGTGTCTTAAACTTCTGGCAGTTTTGAGTTTCACACAAGGTGGGGGTTTTGATTGCTGTGAGAAGGTTGTCAAGTCAATGAGTCTTGATATATCAGAACACATCTAAGTGCTCGTCAACGCCAAGCAGCATTAGCAATACAAAAGTTACACTGTAGATGGAAGCCGAAAACTAGCGCGAGAACAGCCCTCGATCTGATTATAGATGCGCCTCTAAAACCTGTTTGTGAAGTCCGTTACGTATTACTGACTGACGCTTCTTGCATCGGGCTATATGTTAAAAGACGAGTGGAATTTTCGTCCCGACGAAGAAACGTAGACGAAACCCCCCACTTGCAATAGTGCAGGACGCATGACATCAAAATCGTCGATATCGATGTTGCTATATATCTTGTTCATCATGACATGGATACTTAACCATAACCAGGGTACAAAAACAAACAGGATAACCTAGCAATATGAACCTCCTAAGTAGACTCTTGATGAAATCCGCAACGGACAGTACATATTATCGCCTCGCTCAGAATACTGAAATTGCTCATTGGAGAGTAGCTATATCACCGCGTAGTATGTGGAAGGATGTTTGGCGTTGAGTCTCTCATAGAGAAAGGAACAAGGATAAAGGTCTCTCTTCGAGATTGCAAGCTCTGCCGACGCGACGTCGGTTTAGCAGATGCTCCGTGCTTCAATCGAATCGCCTGTCTCCCCTGTCAAGTCGATCCCCTTGGCTTCCAAGCGAAGCTAGGGTTATCCTGGCCCCTCCACAAGTTTCCTTCCCGTTTGAAGAACTAAGAAAACAATGGCATCAAGATCGGCCTTGCTGGCTTTCTACATGACAGTGATATCACAACGCATTGTGAGTATCACCTATATTACCGCACCTGATTTATATCCTGGACCAACAACGCCCGCAGTATTTCTCATTCGCATGGTGGCAATGTTACTCAAGGTCTGCAAAAGAGAAAATTACCTCGAGCATGTGCCCGTCAATATACCAATGGCTCCATAGGGGCAAATCGAGGTGCAAACGTGAGAGGTTTGAGCAGTAAAGGACCGGCATCAGGATCAGGGTGCAGTGGGGATCCCACTCCAGTGTCTTGATGGGCAGACTCCCTCAAAAGACCCTGGCCTGTCTTGTGTTGAAAAATAAACAAAAGGACTGACCCACAGTGGCCCATACTGGATTGATCCAAATAATACCTACCACTTGTGCTACCTGCTATGTTGCAGGACATGGTAGGTAGTCCGAGTTTTGGATACTATTCGAGGTTAAGAATGAATGCAGCACCTTTAGATACCAACAGAAGTACCGTTCTGTAAATAGCTGCAGACTGCGTGCAGTCATGTCTCGACGCAGTGTCCAAGGTAACAGTGCTCATATTGGATATGGTGACTCGCTGAGAGATAGCCAAGTCAAATATGAGACCTACTCTGGCCAACCAGGAAAACAATATGGCCGATGCTCTGCAGTAGTCTGCAGGACGATAACTGTTGCCGAAAATGTCGAGCTGCGTTGCGCCGCGTTGAAACTTGAGTCGGCCTTTGGACCAACAGGTGCTGGCTGATAACTAGGTATTGATCAAACGATCCTAACAGGGCAGATGCGCGAAGGATACCCACCGTGCTGTAGCGCACGCGCCAGCCTCTGTGAGCCTAGATCAGATTTGGTAAGGGCTCGGGAGCTGGCGAGCTTGATCAGTGTCGACTCAGCAACTGTTGCAGTGCCAATCCGCTGACGGTGGAGATGGTTTTACAAGAACAGGCAATTCAGAGGAGCGAAGAACCAGTAGCTGTCTAGTTGGTCGTGAAAAGATGGATGGGTCATTTTGAGGCTCATCATCGATCAGGAAAGCAGGCACTAGGACGTTGCGAAATTGGTATCGCTGCACCAATTGGATCAGGCATTGACTGACATGCCTAGACAAATTGAATTGACGAATGCGTACTCCGTGCCGTAGCTGCAGAGCTATTTTTGCATGGAGTTTGAGCAGTCTGCTTCATGTCCGACGTTCCCTCTTCTGACCGGGGCCGATGATATTCATTTGGCTCTAGAGATTGTGGCTCCGTCTTGGCTGTCCTACATGAGACTACACACCAAGACCCTTGTGGTACCTGTCTTGAAGAAAAACCAACAACAGACCATGTGGGTTTGAGGTCTACCAATATGTAGCCATGGCAGATCCAGGTATGGTGTGACTCAACGGCTTTAGTTGCCATCTGCGATCGCTCAAGACGTCTTTGTGTTTGATATCCATATAATCAACAAGGTACAGTGACTCCAGTGAGAACCAACTGCATAAGAAGGCTCTTCAGTTGAGGGGTCCAATCTGAGATCCGAAATTCAGAGAGTTAACGGACAGGGATTGACAAAGGTAGCCAAGAGTGGCCTGTGCTTCCACTCCGGGGGAGCGAGGAGAAACAAAGCAAAGCTGCATGTTGGCGAATGCTGTGATGTCGCATACCTGCTATGGAAGGCCACCCATATAGCGACATCTGTCATATCCCATCACCACTCAGTATCTAATAGAGGTTGTAGGACCTGAAGGCCTAGTGTTAGCCACAGATCATCGGTCTTGTTGCGTTGAACCGTGCACCATACTCCAAGGTCGCCGACACAGGTGACACAATCATCCGTGACTGGAAGAAACCAGGGCTACTGGCGGAGATGCTGCATGTTCTCCTCCGGAGTCTTTTAATATGCGAATCTCAGCAATCAGCCGAAGCCGAAGAGGATCCGCAACACTACAACCCTGGCCTGCCTTTGTTTAGCTGCCGTGTTGGACGATCTGCGGTTTGTAGTGTCCGCTCGCTGGTTGCCTTTTCTAGGCCGGTTTCCTACCGAGTATAATCAGCCGCTGTTCCTGTCTGTCAAATGCGAGTGCCATTGGAGGCAAGCAAGGCAACGCGGCAGCCATCCATGGGCGGAGCAATCCCGATCTCAACAACTTGGCTAGGCGAGACAATGCGATGTGATGTGATAATGCATTTTCTCTGCCCACTTATCTCATAGATTGTACTATACTTTTCTGCTGTGCTCTGATATCGTTGTCTTGCCTCATCCTGCGCGGGTAAGGCACGGGAATTCTGCACCTTATTTGCTTTGTTATTTCGGAGAAAGGTTTCCATAGTCCGGCGGCCGATGTGGATGTTCGTGTTGGCAAAGAGAAGCGAGACGGATTCGTAATAAAGCGGATGTTCGTGGTTGTCAGATTGCGACCGTAATTATAAGTAGCAAGGGAATAGGGTGACATATTTGGATTTAGTGTTATTAAGAGGAAATGTTAGTACGTAGATAATCGATGAAGCCACGAAACGTCAACCTATTGCAGGCGTGAGCAGGTACAGACAGGTACTACTTTCTCCACTATCGTGTCGACAGCTAAGCTACTAGGTAGGTACGTAGCATTGGCAAGGCAGGGACCTCGGATTTGAGGTTATCTGCACCTACCATTTTACCTCCGGTCCAACCATCTGATCCCCCCTCATCTTTAACTGGTAGGAGCCAACTTAGGAGGCCAAGTTGCCTACCTACCCAGGTGCCTACCTAAAAATGAAAGAATGAAACATGGAAAATATAACATTTGGCTACTACCAAGGTACTAGGTAGGATAAGAAAGATGCAATACGATACCTCGATGAAGTGTTTATCTCAACTGCAGAAGGATTCAAATTAATTGCCCATCACTACTGCAACCACCTTGTGATATTGTTTCTTCTATCCTGTTCGTCTACACTCTGCATCTTCTCCATACAGCGCACATTTACACCTCCATCATTGGACCAGCACCCGGTGCGCAGACCCAGTTCCTGCATCCCAGGATGTTAAAATTGCGTGTCCCAGGATATTCGATACCTACCGAATAGCTCACTCGCCAATTGTCTTCGCTGTTCACAGCTTCTGGTTGGACAATCGACTCGTGAGCTTCTCCCCATCTGTCGACATGCAATCTTGAAAGACATACATACGGGACTGACTTGTACCCAGTCTCTCGCGTCTGCAGAAGCAAAAATAACAACAATACTTTATTTGTTCCTCCACTACATTCCACAGTGTTACCTTGGCTCTCGAATGCAAGATGCAAGACGCAAGACGCAAAACACCATCTTTTGACTCTGATACGACGAGCATGCTTGTCTCATCAAAGATGAGCGGCTAATCGATGTACTGGCACATCTACATAGACCATATCGCAGCTTGCTTGGTCCCTACATACAGCAGCTTTGACGACCGTCAAGGTCCCTGGTACTACGACTAGGTATTCAAGCCTCCTCCAGCTGTTAATCCACTCCCCACCAGATCCTCACCAAGCCAATGCAATGCGATGCAATGCTATGCTGTGCTGAATGGTTGTCTCGTTCTGTCTTGGCTTGGCTTTGGACTCTACTCGCTCGCGTCAGTACAAGGGAATTGGATCCACAAGCTAAACACGAGCAAGGTCCCATGTCTTCTCTCCCGCCTAGTCATCGACGCCATCGAGGTTTTGTGTGAACCCTGCTACTCAACTTGGACCCCAGAGGCAAAACAACGAAACGACAAAGACAAGGACCATGATGTGCGCCGCGGGCCGAGCAGCACTGGCCAAGGGCTATCAGAGCTCTGACATGGGCTGTCACTACGCACGAGACGTGACCCTCATGCGACAGCCCAGAATCGGCGCCACGATGATAGGGTCCTGGAGAAATGAACGGACGTGCTGGAGTTTTCAGGCCAAGGCACTGAAGTGCCTAGTTGAATGTGCTAAAGAAGACTCCACGCTTGCAAGCCTGCGCCCCCATGCCCTGTCCTGCACCATACGCAGTCGCTGTTCTCCCCGCTTGTTTACTCGCTCCAGTATTTCTCGACAACTTGCAGTAGCAGCATCTGAGCAAGGAGAAAAGAGAAAATCAAACTTGCACCGTTCTCGGTAGTGACGCGGCCGGGGTCGGCGTCCAACGGAAACGGGACTCAAAATGAACTGCTGGTTCTCAACAGCAACGCCTCTCAAATAACGCGCGCCAGTCTCTTGCTGTGATCTTAGTACACCCCCTCCACCAATCCCATTCACGCTACTAATTAGCTACATCGTTGTGCCCTCTTATCCCCCAAGTCGAGCCGCCGCCGCCGCCATACATGGGCCCTCCAACCCTCCAAATCATCCAACCCCTCGCTCCACCGGTCCTAATGCAGTGAGCGCAGGACCCAATACACCCCTGCCGTCTTGTCCTCCGTTGTCCAGACCAAGATCAAATCTCGACAGACTTGCGCGCTTGTCTCTACGTAGTTGCCGCCCTACCAGTGCCACCACAGCTAGGTACACACTACGATGGCCCGCGGCCTCATCAAGGACCCTCTCTACTCCATGTTCATGCATGGTCCGTTTTGGAGACGGGGTTTGGCATAGGTATATATCGTAGACCCGTTCCCCATCTTCACCCCAGGCTGTTATCATCGCCACTACCTCTTTTCCTCCTCCTCGCTCTTCTTCCACCGGCCAATTCCTCTTGTCATGGCCATCTTTGAATAGTTCCCTTTCCCGTCATTGTATATTATACGTCCGCTACCTCGAATCTTGCGAAGGTGCGACTGTGTCTCTGGTGCATAGTGTTTTTGCTTTGGTACTTCCAGCGTCTCTGATTCACTTCCACCTCACCTCAATCATCTTGGACGGTCAACCACTGTCAATTCCAGACTACAAGACTCAGAATCTTGTTGCCCCGAAATCACTTATAAACACCTTCTCGCCCTCGTTCTTTCGGATATATACCTTTGCTGTTTGGTATCCGTCAATATCCGTTATATATCACTAAAACTCCTCCTCGTCTTGAGGGCACAACAACACCTGCCTCTTACACGCCAAACTTACCGGATTACAACACTCTCACAACGTCACTATGTCTGAATCAGATCATCAGAGTATCGGGCGCAGCCCTCTTGGCTTCGCTGGGCCATTGTCTCTCTCGATGCCTTCTTTCGACTTTTGGTATTCGAGCACCTTCTGGCTGTACCTTTTTCTGGGTCTCTGGTAAGTCATTTTTACGTGCTCTATGAACACATATCTAGCAACTAGGCTCCCCTAGAGTCTCCCAACCTATCATCTCGGGCTGCTGGTACTTCATTGGCAACTAAGTCTAACCATCTCTAGGATCCATCGCTATTTCCGTCTTCTAGTCCACTGCGTCAGCCATTGGACATACAAGTCAAAGCCCATTCCCAGCAAACCGACCTTCACTAGCAAGGACGTTACTGTTGTCATCCCTACTATTCATAACGCTTTTGAGGAGCTTCGTCCTTCTCTGGAGAGTATTTTGGCTTGTGAGCCGGCTGAGCTGATCCTGGTCACAACGCATGATAAGCGAAAGGAGCTTCAAAAGTTGGCTGACTCTCTGGTATTTCCCAAAGTTCGAGTTTTGGACACCCCCATCGCGAACAAGCGCCTTCAAGTGTGTGAGGCCCTACCCAAGGTTGAGACACCCATCACTATCATGGCGGACGACGATGTGACCTGGCCCTCTACTCTTATGCCGTGGATTTTGGCACCATTCGAAGATCCTGAAATCGGTGGTGTAGGAACTTGCCAGCGGGTTCGACGAGAGCACGACGGTTCTTGGTCGACCAAGGCATGGAACTGGTTGGGTGCTGCTTACATTGAGCGTCGCAACTTTGAAATCTCTGCCACACACAACATCGATGGCGGCACTTCTTGCATGTCTGGCCGTACCGGTGCCTACCGCTCTGAAATTCTCTCGAGTCACGATTTTCTCCACGGTTTCAAGAACGAGAAGTGGAGAAAGTGGATTTTGAACGCTGACGACGACAACTTTGTGACTCGTTGGCTGGTGAGCCACCAATGGAAGACATGGATTCAGTATGAGAAGGAGTGCGAGATTGAGACAACATTGGAGAACAGCACCAAGTTTTTGTACCAATGTTCTCGTTGGGCTCGAAGCAATTGGCGAAGCAACTGGACAAGCATGGTTACTGAGCGTTACATTTGGAAGTGAGTAAATCCGTTCTTCAATGTTTGAAACAAATGTCTCTAACAAAAATAGGCAACAATTGTGGTGCACATACGCTCTTCATTTCGCGACTTTCACTTCGCTGGCTTTTCTCGTTGATCCACTTCTTCTCGCTTCGTGCTGGTGGGGAACTGCAGACTGGGATATGCAGAACCGTAGATACGCTTTCTGGTCTCAGTTTGTTTTCATGTTTGCCTTTACCAAGGTGGTCAAGCTGATGGGTTTGTTTATTCGAAACCCCAGCGATGTCATGTTCCTACCCGTGTCGGTCGTGTTTGGGTATTTCCACGGATTGGTCAAGCTCTATGCCCTGATCACATTGAATATGGTATGTTTCTAGTGGTTGTGTTTTGGCTTGATATTTTACTAACAAAACTGTTATAGACATCTTGGGGCAGTCGAGCTGACGGTGATGCCAACGATGAGCAGCGATTGGCCCCGGCCCCTCAGCCTTCCATTGTTTTGAAGACTCCCCCCGGAAAGGGCTCGCTCATTCGTTACAATGCTCGCCAGAAGGGACGACAGACGCAAGCACAGCAAGGCTCGTGGGAGAAGAGCGATTATGCCTCCTACGATTCGAGCACATCGTATGTGCCAATACGGGTGCTTACGCCGATGGCAACAACGCCAATTGACGCCAAGCTGTATACGAACGAAAGTTCAAACACTTGCTGGGCAATCTGACCTGGCAACGACACGATTTTGATGAAGCTATGAGTAACGTTTTCATTTTCGCATGGGAAGTTAATTATCTAAGACCTACAAGGTCGAGAGAAACACGAAACTCTTCCCGCTTATTCTCTTTCAACACTTCTTTCACACCACACCACAGCCACCACCAAAAAAAGGACGGATTGGGGATATGGATGGAAAAAGTTTTTGCTTCTACTTTTTTTTAAGAGGAACGATGGAGACGCTTTTCCAGTCGACGGCCGCTGACGAGGTTCAGAATGTCACCTGCTTGGATTGAGATATTTCCAGAGCAGATGAAAGACATGTGGCAACCTGAACAGCGAGCTTTGCTGGACCAAATAATTTTGGTGGGTAAAAGGCAGTCGAGGCTATCATGATACTAGCCTCACTCGCCGATGGAGCCCGAGCTGAGGTCATCATTTCTTGTTTTGTAACAATTTGGGATCATATGGGAATTATGGATGGGTGGTATTTTACGTGGTGTGAGAGGTTCACAAAGGGTATACAAAGCTTTGAGGCATGTGATAGTGATAATCAAAATATCTGGGGTTTCTAAGCTCCCAACTTACAACTACTTGTTTCTTCGAATTTGGTGTGATTTAATTGTGTGATGGGCGAGCAGAATGGCGCAGATCCTTGACCATCACCCGTAAACCCACATCGAATAACAACAACCCTTTAGCGAGCATAGGTACATGATCAAGATGGTGTCGTTGACACTAACTTAGCTTGAAGGTTAGTGATGACAGCCATACCTAAAAAGACTGAAGGATGATGGGTTGGCAGTATAGCTCCACATCATAACCCCACAAATATTAGTTTCGTGGTACGACGGTTCAGATGCTTTGCAGGTTGTGCTTGGTTGCAACCCTGACGTTCTCGAGCCTGTCAGACCAAAGTAAATCCTGCCTGTCATCGAGCACGAGCGCCGGGAGGCTGATCGGACAGGTGATAGCCCAAAGTTAAAAAAGAAGAAACGTCAATCGTTGTTCTTTGGTGGTTTTTGGTGTACAAATGAGGTCTGGGATATCCAGGGTCCTGCCCTGTTGGGTAATGCAACTCGAAACCAAACAGCACGAGTCGTAATACGTTGTACTGAGGCTACTAGGGTACCACTTTTGTGTCATTTTCAGGCCTGTATTCCCTGATCACCGTTGCATCTCCGGCGGGACTCAATTCGAGATGAGTTGCAGAGACAGGGGAGTCTTGTTGGACAAGCTAGCAAGCCGCCCTGTAAGACCCCTGTAGTCATCGCATTTTGCACTCCGCTCTTCCCCTCCCTGTCGGCCGAACCAAGACACGATTAACGATGACAGTGCCTGAAGCAGTTCCCATGCGCATTCTGATCGGAATCAGACGAGTCGTGTGTTAATAACGCGACTTGATAATATTTTTCGTGAGTGAGCATCAACGTCAGATGAGCAATCCACTGGGACAAGACAAAGCAAAAACGTAATGATCTCGCAAGGAGGGGGAGGGGTCTGATGGCTTTGACTGAAGGACAAGTGTTGGATAGACGCCAAGAAGAAAACCAGGGTTGCTAGCCAAGCTAAGCATTTGTGGACAACGATCGCCTGCTTGGTCTGCTTTGATATGGATGATAATAACCTCTCTTGCGCGGGGTTTTTCTGCTATCCACCCAAGTTAGATATCATGATGTGAGACAGACGACGCAAGGTACTGCGCCTAGATAATACACAGGTTAGCTGAGTCTGGGGGTACGAGCCAGGGTACAGGCCCTATGTTCTTTGATGCGACTGGCTCGTTGGCTCAACATCGCAACCTGCTTGCTTGTTTCTGCGTATCTGCGTAACAACTAGTAGAAGCAAGTTATGCCCGGAAAGATAGTGGAGCTGGCCGTCTACGTTGTGTCGCAGGTATTGCAACATGCTGCATGCATGTTGAGTTAGAAACATCTTTGAAGCCAAGCAAGAGGTGGTGAATCGCTATTGCGTTATGTTGGTCTCAGCCAACTTTTGCGGGACTTTGGGGCTCTGCGGTTTCTGTGTGACGCCGGCATATGGCTGCCATTGGTCCGCCTCGATCTGAAAAGCGATATGGTACATGGACAAGTGTCAGCTAAATTGTGATTTGCTCACACAAATTGTTGTATCATCTCACCAACCATGGATACCTAGACATGAGGGTGGTGATGGTAAAGAGAAGACCAAATCTGCAAATCTACAAGTTATCCACGGTGGGAGCCCTGTGACGATGACTTGGATCAAGATCCATCACAGACAGCAAAGGACCGATCCTGTTTGTGCCAGCCAAACCTTGGTCAAAGGCTGTGAGCATCCCCACAATCTTGATTCTTCTTGTTTGCATCATGTTAGACGCAGGTCCCTGGTTATTATTAATCTTCCGAAAATACCCTTTTGTAGATCCTAAGCCAGTAGGGCTAATCTCGTCCAGGCTGGAGGTCTACTCCAGAGATTCCCCTTCTCTCGGGGGCACCATAGATGGTGCTCACGACACTTGCTGCCCCACGGGATGGGACGGATAGCCACATATCAGCAAAGTCACTGGGTAATCGATATTTGAGTGTGTAACACCCCGATCTGGTTCGGCGAGTCGTACACGGTTGTACCTACTGTTGTGACAAGGTGATCAGTTGCAGACCCTTGCAAGTGCCCTGGTTCCCCTCTTTCACAAGGTACATATATGTATCGGCGCGGGTCCAAAGCTCGGACTTCAATCGGCAATAACAAGGGTAGCACAGGCCAGCCGAATGTTTAGCCAAAGATTGTGGATAGGTTTGAGGCAGGTTTGATAGAGGATTGTAACGGTTATCCATAGTTGCACTGGCCGTTGGTAATGTTTTGCAGTCGTATGAGCTTGGCCAAAGGAAAACGTTTTCCAGGGGAAGACATTTATCTGCCGATCATTTGAAGCACAGTGAGTGTTTGAGTAATTCAGTGCTGTAGTCTTCTCAACCGAATCAAAAGGCGCCAATATACATAGTAGGCAAGCATGCAAACCAAACATACAACTAGAGGACATGCATGAAGACATGGTAGAAAACAAAGATAAGATGCCCAATCGAGGTTGGGACCTCGAGAAGAAGCAATGGTCAAAGCTTTTATCCTAGGCAGGATGGATTGCCTGATGAGGCAACTTGAGATCTTGTATGTAGGCAGATAGGTAGGTACCTAGGTAGGTAGGTAGCAGGTACTAAGCTTACTACACCAAGCGGGATCTATATACCAAGGTGAAGTAATCACGACCCAGGTACCTGTATCTAGGGAGGTACCTCTGGCTCTACTGAGGCAGGTGCCTCAAACGTCTGAGATGGCTTGAGAAGGTATAGAGTAAAGCGTTTACGAATCCATCACGATACGTACCTGCCCAAGACATCTTGGGATTATGGGTTCCTTCTTGTCTTCTCCATCTCTAGTTCAACGGATATCCCCCTCAACACGAACGATGGCGCAATGACGGGAAGGGGATACCCCGGCCAAAATGGCGTCTGACGATTATCGATTGACAAATGCACCTCTAAGATCGACAAGTCCGTTTGCTCATCGCCCGTCAACTATTTTGTGTTGTATCAATGGTACATCTTCTGTACATGCACCTACATGTGCAGCGTCCACTAATATCATCTTGTAGGCATGTACATATCCATGGATCTCTATCCCCCAATATGTTTAGCTGCAGCTCGCTATCGGCCGGAGGCGTCGCATCGTTAAATGTCTACCCATGACCGTGCATGTTCATCTCATGATGGGGGGAACCCTGACGTTTTCTCAGGCACACCAACACCCAAAGCCAAGAGTCGCTACAGATTCCGCACCCTCCCGGAGCAAATGTCGTACAAAGACCATCTGCAGCAGGTTCAACTTGTACTAGGCTCACATTGCATCGTTGAAGCAGATCAAAGCAGCGAGAAGCAGCAACACGTTGCCAGAAAGCAAGCTATACCATACCATACTATGCTTATCGCCATCCTAGTACGCTTCATCGATCGATGCGAATGCTTATTAGTCTTGTTAGACTGAGTACACTTGACCATGGCTGCAACAGGGTCTTCAAAACTACGTAACACGTAGTACAACAAAATTACTCGCGCCCGCAGATGCACCGTTTTTACAGCATCTTGTCCGAAAGCGCCTCGACGGCTTAGCATCGGTCGCCCATCGCCCACTATCGGAGCTCCGCTTCAACTTGGGATAAAGCCGCAATAGCCGCCGGGCCGGTCCATATCTACAGAGTTTTTGTGTTTCGCTAAACTTAGGAAACGCCCGGTTTCTTCGCTTTTTTTTGGTTATTCGGCCTTCGGAGACCAGATGTTCAATTACCGAAATAAACAAGTCTCCGGCTCAGAAACTACCAACAAAGGTGCAATATTTGCTTTGATCTCTCAATCATGCAGGTTGTTGTCTCAGAGTCGACTGTTCAGCAACTCTGCCTGCGCTACTGCGCTACCTGAAGGACCTAGCCCGAAATACACGCGATGTTTTTTAGTGCTTTGAGGCACCCTGTCGAGTTGATAAGATACACTGTAGGCGTGTTCATAGCACACATCGACGTCCGAGCGTGCATCCTGCAGGCCATGCTTGCGTCGCGCCGTCGTTCTCCACCGACCATTTCAACCGAAGTGTTCGTGTCGGCAACACATCGTGAACACTTGTGGGGGGAAAACTGTAATAGGCAACTGGCAGGTACGCTGGCTTGATTCCTAGACCACCATCTGATACTAGCCTGAGATGCAATGCCTTGATCTCTTGTCAGTGATCTTGTGGGCACATCGTGTGATGTGACCCATGCACAGCCCAGGCTGGCACATGTCAATCGGACTCACTGCATCGAAGATTTAGAAACCAATGACTCCTTCTGGATAAGGCGTGTCTTCCCAATACCATGCCAAGATTATCAGATTCATAAACTTGAGTACAGGTCTAGCAGAACTATTGAGATGTATGTGGGTGTGTCAAACGTCACTTCAAACCATATCGTACCGAAGCCTTCCTTTGTCAACAAATAGTCAAGCACAGCCGTGAGTCCAGAAACAAAGCAGAAAGCGATACGAGGCATGCCTCGTCAACGTATCCGTAGTGATTGGTGATGCGTTATACCTGTGCAATAGTCAATCTATGGGGTGGCTGCATTTGCAAACCAGTTAGCTCTTCTCTACAGATATTTGAGACATCTTTCAGTAATATCTCATGACTTGGCCTATTATAAGACATAGTTATGTGTATAGGCACATATACATATACACTATACCAGAGGCATGTATCCAATCAAAAGACAGACATGAATTCGTCAATAACATCAGTCCCAGCCCAAGAGGTACAACAATCCACTCAGCAAAATCACTTTGCGCTTGGTGTTATTGCTCGAGTCTCTCAAGACCTCTCAAGGTAATTGTGTAGCTACAACTCGATTTCGTCCCAAACAACACATTTTTCCATATCTCTACTGCGTGTTTTAACCTGCTAGATATCTCCCCGCATGAGGAGTTAGAGCATGACCACAAAGCATACAGTACTGTGAGATACTGGTTTTGTTTCTGAGCTGTTAGGTTCGAAGCTATATAACTGTTGCTCTCGTTAGAAATATGCTCGTGGGTGAGTATGGTGACATGTACACTTTCCCAGGCATGAAACCGTGGCACAAGAGGAAGTAGATGAACTAAGGCGTTTAAAGCTATGGTATATACAATTCATGAATGACACATTTTATTTCTGTTACCATATGGCTATTGTATGTTCGCTATTTTGGTATCTATAGCTCTGAACTGGTGTTGTATGATTGCTCCCCTTGCCTACATTAAGCATGCTTAGACTATGAGTGTCCTTTCTGGGAAACCCATGGGCTGAAATAGCAAGCGGTTCAACTGTTAGTAACACCGGGGACGAGAGAATTTGACATATTTATCAGATATTGGACTTAGTCTTACTTTTCAATATTCTATCCCCTATACGTTAATACCGAGTTTCTGTAACGCCTTGGCCATGATTTCAGACATAAGGAGCAATTTTTTGGTCACATTTGCTTCAGAATTATTGAGAATCTTTAATCTCAGATCCAACATCAGTAATGGTTCTGCTACTAAGATTGGCATCACCACGGTCATCATACAGACTGCTTTCGTTCTACTTCCACTGGATGGCTGGCACCCGGTGTGATTTCTTACACTATCTGCGCACGTAGGATTTCTTTAGGTTTATTCAAACGTGATGGTCAGAAATGGCGACCATAGAATGGATGAGATCATGGTTATACGCTGCAGTTGGCGCTACTTCTTGCTATCCTGAGCGGGTTTGAGGACACACCTTCCTCTGTTGTTGACAGGTGTATTGATGAACTACAGTATATGTTTAAGCATGATTCTTTGGAAACTCAGTAGCACTGTCGAGATTGTGTACGACATTCTTAGGGTGCTTGGTAGACCTTTGATAAATGATCATGCTCGATTTGTGAACGCGTTGTTCCGCTTCCCCAAATTAGGATCGGGTATACGACTTGTTGAGCAAAGCAGGCTGTAAAGCTCAATCACCACAGGCGCAAGTACCCAGATTAGAATCGAGAATCAAAAAGTCATTTTACTCGCTAGCTACCCAAGTTAAAAGGAGATGTTAAGAGATCCTTGGCCATAACCCAACCCTCACAAGTCGCAATGTTCTACATGGTTTAACAATTTCGCAGACCAATCCATCTATTTCAACGTTTGCTTCCTTAAACTGACCCACCGAGATACATGATGTTCTGTCTGATGGGTTCTGTAAGTGGATTTCGTCCAGTATAGACGTGGGTGACTGTGTCCTCCCAAGCATGGGGATGCGGCAGCGGAACCTCAACCGTATCACCAGGCTGAACAAGTTCTGACAGAATGACTGCAGCCAGCACGGGAAGGTATTTTCGAGCATAGTCAAGTCCTAATGAAAGTTAGTAAGGTGCTCACTTAGAAGATGTGACGTTGTGTCCCTAGAGCGACGTCCAAGTAGAGGCCGTTAACTTACGAATAGCAACAGGGGGCATGGTGTAACGTGAACCCCTTCTCTCGCCAGGAGGAGACCGACTATGGCTTGTTCTCGGGATGGCACCATAGGAGCTTCGTCTGTCCCGTGGGTATCCCGGCGAAGATGATCGTGAAATATTGGCGGGAGGCTGAAGAGTCGCAAATGATGCACGCCGGTCTGTCTGTTCAACAGGGCTAATCGGGGGGAGGGTGGCTCTTAATTCGTCCAAGTCGAAAGTTCTGGTAAGTACAACCGATTTCTTTCCTGGAGAATGCACAACCACACGGGTAGTTAGGCGTCCGTCTACAGGGTAGGGTGACGGTGGGCCAGTGTCACTCGAGGGTAGCAGAGATAAGCGACGAAACTCAGTAGGTTGAACCATCATCTCAGGTTCTCGAGGTCTATATGAACCTGCGAGCCTTCGACGATGAAGGTGGTCTCTCTGTCGGGCGATTTGCATAGCTCTGGTATGTATAGGACCGCCAGGTGCAGACTGTCGGCGTTCATGATCCAAGAAAGCAGAGCTGCGATGTGGCTCGGAACCTGGCGCATGAAGTAACATGCTTCTTGTCTCTTCGGCAATGGTTGGTCTTTGAAAAACATGGGGTGCAAACAGAGGCGCTGATAGGGGAGAACGTCGAGATGGCAGAGTGCCAGGGCTTGGAAGGGCAAGTTCTGTGATGGGTCTTAGAGAAACATTGCGGAGAATGGCTTCTTGTTTGAGAGAATCAAGCTTTGATTTCTCTAGCTGATTAACATCCATTCTATCCTCCTGCACCGTAACATCATCTCTCGCAACTCGAAGCCGCGGAAGAGGGAGACTGCAGGGTGAAAGAGGCGAAGGAGTCCAGGAAGGGCTCTTTTGTATGATATGTGATCGTAGGGAGCGGACGTTCAGATCAGTGCCCGTAGTTCGTATGGGTTCTATAGCCGGACGAGACCGTGCTTCAGCAGTGGCCGTTGTCATGGTTGCTGTGAAGGCGGAGGTGCTGCGCCTTTACAAAGATATTGAACAAGTTATGGGTAGGCAACCAAGAAAGAAGTACGAAGAAGAGCCAATATTATATGGAACGGACATATGGAGAGAACGAAAGGGCGGATGGAATGATGTATTAGAACTACCAAGCCTTGCCCCCCTATACCGAGCTGATGACCACCTCATTAAATCAGAATGAGACGGCGCTTTTTCTTAGAGAAAGGATGACATATGTGATGCACATTTGCCCCAACATACTCTGACTTCAGAGTTTTTTATCACAAAGGAGTGAGCCATTTGGCGCTGACAGCCATCTTTGACACAACAAAAGTCTGTGTTTGTTGGCGCAAGAGAACAAAGAAATGCGGCTTGCTCTAGGCAATTGGTGCCGACATATTATGTCTGCGTCCGCGGAACAGAGCCCGCTTTTGGTTGGTCCTTCCAACCCGACGGCCTGAACGAGGTGTTGTGTGAAAAGTCTGATATGTCGGAACTCAGCAGGGATGACATGTTTGTTACCGAGGGTTTGAGTTGTTGAAGGTTTGGGACTGTATAAGTGATATTAGAAGCTGTTGGTGAGGATGCACGTGACACATCTCTTGTAGCGTCTCATCTACTGATTGGTCAAAGCTCCCGGGCCTAGGCCTACCCGTACCGTTCCTTAGCCTCGGGCCCTCCATCTCAATATCCTAGGTACCTACAACCTGGCATCACATCACGAACCAGGCTGAGCTCTCTTTCGCATTACTTGTCAACTTGACAGGTTTCGATCCTTTGTCCTCAAAACTTGCTCGTCGTATTCTCTACAACTATGCGCCAAGGCTAATTCCCTACCATTTCGTTTCATTTCATCACTCGCCAGCCATGCCTGAGACTACCAGTTACAAGCAGCAAAAAGAGGACTTCGTGTCCAACCTATCTGGCGGCTCTGTCGCAGAAATCAACTATATTACATCCGTTGCAGCTGTTTGTTCCCCTCCAATTCCAACACCAATCCACACTCAGTCATCCGTGAAGAGTTACTAAATTTGATCCGTTGCAGGTAGCTATTCTACTTTGGTCCGTCCTCCAAGCTCGCCAGTCCTTCTTTGAGCCATACACGGTACTGGCTTTCGCTGTCGACTTCCTCCTCAATGTTGGCGCAATCCTTCTCTCGGTGACCCTTTACTCCAACTCGCCACTTCTACTCAACCTTCTCCTAATTGCCCCCGCCATCCTCGTCTTTACTCTACCACCCCGTTCTATAAGTCGAAAAAAGAAGGCCAAGATACCTCCCAATGCCCGGTCCAACGAAAGCTCTGGGCAGCTGGATATCCTTTCAACAAAGCCTTTCCTCACAAACTTCCGTGGTTGCATGATGATTGTCACATGTGTGGCTATCCTTGCTGTCGATTTCCGTCTATTTCCCAGACGCTTTGCCAAGGTTGAGACATGGGGCACATCTCTCATGGACCTTGGTGTGGGATCCTTTGTCTTCTCAGCTGGGCTTGTCGCAGCTCGTCCCGTGTTGCGAGAGAAAGCGACTGGTCGCACTGCAAGCAACGCTTCATCCCTTTCCTACCGTATCGTGCAGTCGTTGCGCCATTCTATTCCCTTGTTGGTCCTGGGTTTCATACGGTTCCTGAGTGTGAAGGGTCTGGATTACGCAGAACATGTGACAGAATACGGCGTCCATTGGAACTTCTTCTTCACGCTCGGGTTCCTGCCTCCTTTTGTGGCTATCTTTCAATCGGTGCGCAAATTGATTCCTTCATTTGCAGCCCTGTCGTTGTTGGTCGGCGTCACATATCAGGTCCTGCTTGAAACCACTGGTCTAAAGGCGTACGTCCTTACGGCGCCCAGGACCGATCTAATTAGCATGAACCGTGAAGGAATTTTCAGCTTCATCGGCTACTTGGCCATCTTCCTTGCCGGACAGGATACGGGTATGTTTGTCATTCCCCGTAACCTCGTCCCCAAGAGTACTGCTAGTCCTGGAACTCAGCGGAACAAGCTCCTGAAGATCACGGCCGTATGGGGCGGAGTCTGGGCAGGTCTCTATGTTTTGTCCACAAACTATCATTATGGTTTCGGATTAGCAGTGTCTCGTCGCATGGCAAACCTACCCTACGTCTTGTGGGTTGTTGCCTTTAACACTATACAACTCTTTGGGTTTGCCGTTATCGACACAATCTTCTTCCCTGCCCACTATAATGCACATGATGCGAAGACGGAGAAGGAAGCGTATACACATGCCACCAGTCGGGTGATGCGAGCGTACAATCGTAACGGCCTGGCTGTCTTCTTGTTGGCAAACTTGTTGACCGGGTTGGTCAACATGACCGTCAACACACTTGACGCTACTCCCATCACTACGATGAGCATTCTTGTTGCATATACCGCGACACTAACTGGTGTTGCTGTGGCATTAGATGCTTATAATATCAGCATCAAACTTTAACATTAGCATTTAACATTTTATTCTTACACGTCTAGCGTAGCCTCTTGTATATCTTCCAACATGATCGAGTATGGATAATATCAGCAACTTCAAGTTCAATTACTTATATGACCTCTCAACATGAAGAGGAGTCTGAGTCCAGCAATGCCTGATGACAGCCTCTGGCGATTCGGCTATATCCCATGTCCTCTGCTATAAAGTAGAAATAGTTGTTTTATAACCTTTGCAAGGTAAATATCTAGCCAGAGTTAATCACGTTGGCTGGTGATCTGGACGTTAACATGCTCTTGCATTATTGCAACAGGAAGTATAGTTCTACCCGAAAGTTCTCAATTTCGCGGCCTGAGTAACCCATCACGCTTGAGCGTATAAAATCGGTGAATATTGAAAATTATTACATCACAAACCCTCACCTTATAAAACAGTTGTAAAGGCATTGTTTTACGATATTAATTGGTGACATTCATGTCACATTTCGCCGACGCTACAGCTGGCTCACTGTGATGATGATCTTGCTACCCTGCGGAGAGCACAGTCAGGCTGCGACAGCACATCAAAACGTAGCCTGAAAGTTTTGAGAACTGATATGGAGCCAAGACTTCGCCCGGTCCAGGATCAAGTCATGATTTGTAGATGAACAGCGATTAAATGTGACGAGATGGTCATTTGACTGTGATAAAGAACCACGACAGTACACGTAGGGACCTGGAGTATGTACCACCGAGGTATAGTTTGCGACTGGGATTCGTCACTTGGCGGACCATGACAACCGGGATAGATGATTCACAGAGTTCACGGGAGAGGGCTGAATCTCGGATGCAAACGTCCATCTCAGCTGAGTTGCGTATTATCGTACCATATGTGCCTTAGTGGCTCAGCTGAATTAGTACTAACTAACATATGGTTACGTCAAAAGTAAACATTGCTGATATAGCCCAAATGCAGTAGGTAGATATGAACCTGTACATATTTTACGAACAGTCATGTAAGCAATAGTTTGTAGTCTCTACCGAATACTCAAAAACCAAACGCATCATGTCGACTCGTTTCATCTCGTCTCATCTCCAGGACAAACAAATGAGACAATAGGCTTTGTTTCTATGCCCGCAGAGAAGGACGGCGAGGCCGGACAAAATGACGTCTGAAACGAAAGGACAAAGGTCAGAGCTGCCCTTGTCAAGCTCAGATTCACGTCAGCGGGATCCCTGTATGCTTTAACCACAGCTCATCTCCGGTATTTATGCTGAGTTATGAGCTTGTACATAGCGTGCAGCACGGCACAAATTGCTAGTGTTGATAGTTAGCTTTGAGGATAACCAAATAGTAGTCCTTGCGCATGTCAAGTGCAAAATTTAGTTTCGTCTTGTCAATGTTGTGTTGATGCAGATATTTATGGCATCTCTGTCGGAGGTTCGAAGTGGTGAGGGAAATTAGCTTGTTTCGGAATCTGGACGGATAAAAAAGCAAATGTCTCGGAAAAATGTTCAGGTCAGAGTCGCGGACAATAAAGAATCACTTCGGTTGAAGTCATTAAAATGATCGAACCTGTATGCATCTGGGATATCGTATCGACAAGCGAGATTCGAGGTTTGTGATTAGATGTATCCGTAAAAGATGGCACAATAATATTGAAAGAAAAAGGAACAACTTAGACAGCAAAACAAAAGCAAGGGTCAAGAGGGAGGTTCACCGGACAAATGTCCACTTGAGGCAGGAAGAGCTTCTTGTCAGCCAAGGAAGATGCTGCGAGCCAGTGATGATGATCGCCGTCGCTTATTAACATGGCACCTCAGATCAGGGTTTATTGTCTCGTCACGAAAAATAAATATATGTAGAAAATCGTGGTAAGTATCTGTAATGTGATACATATCAAAATGACTTGAACTGATAATTTGCTTATGCCGCAGCAAAAAGAAGAAAAAAGACAGACTCAAGAAGCAAAGTGTGTTCGAGGAGAGCTTAGTCTCTATGATCAATGCGCATGCATATGTAAGGATCGAGAGGCTCACCCTTGAGCCATAACATCTATGTACGTTCGGAAGATTACAAAATGAGAACACTCTATTGATGGAATTCCATCGATAGTTAGGTTGTGCGAGAAAATAGAGTCGTTGTAAAATCATTTAATTAAGGCATGTGAATGAACAACTTATCCAGTTTGATAGAACTGGCATCACCTACCCTTGAAGAATAACCCATTGTAAACGCAAAAGTCGCAGAACAAGCTTCCTTGCTTCCATTCGAACTTCTCGAATCAGGTGGAAACTTGGCCTCGAGCGGTATAGTGATTTCCCCTTGTCCTACGCATCGACACGCATCGACTCGGGCTGGCTGGAATACGAGAGCAAAGACAGCAGACAGGCCCAGGCGAGGTGGTCCGGCTGTTGAAACCGGAGAACACGATACTGAGAAGTAGATTGGACGATATGGTTGCGTACGTACATGGAAACAGTAGGTACAATAATGTTCAAGGTACAATGCAGTCAAACGGCGCAACGTTGTTGTATGTATCCGTCGATATCATCCATGTAATGCAGATCGCGCTGCTCAACAGCAACGTTATGTACCTACCCGTTCAAGCTAAAGTCAAGCCACTCCGTATGCTGTAACGAGGTTACAGTTTGTGCATGTAATTCAGAAAGAGTAAAAAAAGAGTCACAGCTGAGACCACCACCCTCTTTCTTTTCAAAGAGCCAACGCTTTTGAGAAGCCCACTCTTGAGATTAATGCTTAATGCCTCGTGCACTGTCTTCCAGATCATGTCCCCCGGATCGGGATCTGTAAAATAAAGGGACTCTCCCTCGTTGTTAGGGGCGAACAACGCATTCTATACAAAGTATTGAGTAATCGGTACCGGAACTCTGGCTTTTGGGCGCCAAAATTCAATTCCAGTAGTTGGGCAAGGGAACCAGTAGACTAACACAGAATGGAACCCGACCTGGATTAGCTTCAGACGCCCCGAAACAAGGGCAGAATAGCTAAAGGAAAGTGAGCATAATAGGCCGAGCATCGAATGACGAGCTGGCGCGAGCATTGGCCGATAGATGGCTTGTGAAGCATGATGTTCCAATATTGAGCAACAGGAGACGACAAGAATAAAAATAAAGAGCCTTGGTAGATTCTTTGTTCACCTGCTTCGCCCGCAACCATTGTCGTCATCCAATATCGGTGACAAATGCACTGTTGAATAGGTCAAAGACCTATCCAACTTGTCTATTGTCCCGTCATTTGCGGGATATTTGTTGATATAGCACTCATGACCAGCTGATAGTTTGGCGTCGGGAACTAATAACTCGGCTGTAAATAGATCAGTCACTTGAGAGGAGAGGAGGGGAGGGAGGAATCGGGTTCGGCAGAAGACCATAGACAGACCAGCAGACTGATGACATGGATGACAGCACATACTTACGCATCGTATCTGACTGTAGGTACTGTATCCGTACCTGCAGGAACGACAGCGCTATATTCAGGGGTACTGCAGTGATATGGATCTGTGATCATGCATGGTACCCCTTCCAGCCACCCTCACTCAGAACCTACTCCTTGCATCGGATGAGATATGCAATACCTGCTTTTGGAGAAGAGAAAACAGAGTCTATTATTGTTGGCATAACATTGCATCCACCCAAAGTCTTGGAAGACGTTCATGCTCCAACAATTTCCTAGTATAGAGGCGCCGTTAGTTTGGTCAATGGCCTGTATCGATGTGTTTAGTGGTGGATAACGACTTAGACTAATGATGGAGAAGCCTACATCCAAACTATCACAGAGGATGAGGGGGGTTTTCACTCCAATCCTCCTGCAGCCCAACCCAACCTTCCATCCATCCCAGCCTACCCGTTCCATGGAGGCCAAGGTACCTGGAAAAGGCCTAGTTAATACTGTTTGTATATGGACAACACAGTTTAGAACGTCTCATCTTGTCCTGGCGCCCGAGTCTTTGAGTCTTGAATGTCCCCCTTCTTGGAAATTGATGAATGGCTTCCCTTCCCTGGACTGGGCTGAGTTTACCAGGGTTTTCCCAGTTCAGCATATCGTATACCTCGAGATCTACTCTTTATCCCGCAGTAAATTAAGTACCGTCTCCTCACATCGCGCGCATGGTTTCTTTTTACCATGGCCCCCGGTCTCCCGTCCACCAAAACCAGGACCTGAGAAGTTCCCTTCCCTCTCACTCCACCCGTCTACCTTGCTTGGCCTTGCTGACTTGACTCTCGATTATAATTCAGAGTCTCAATTCAGTCCCTGATAGCGCGTGAGGCCCCGACTCAGAGTCAGACACGGCCCTCACACCATTTTTGCTAGGTACCTTCCATGGCTTTTTTTTTTCTTTGGTACTAAACCCAATTAAAATTTCTGTTGTACTTGGCTGTTAATTGTACTCTATACCCTCGCCCGTTTAATTGAAACCTCGTCCCAGTCTTATTTTTCCCATCCTCTCTTTTTCATTTCGCCTGTTTTCTGGTGACTCCAAACCCTTTCCCTCCCTCTCGCGTCTAATTTGGAGCGTTTGCGCGTTCGCATCGCATTGCATTGAGGAGCGTTTGGTTCGATCTCGCTGCTATCGCGCATATTCTCCCAACCTCCAGCGACCCAAGTCCAGCCCAATTGGACCCAATCCAGTCTCATCGCCTAATTAGCACCTGCAGGACTCCAAGGCCCAAGCCGCAGCGAGCGCAACGCAACAACACAACAACAAGAAAAAAACAACATCAGCCCGGCTGCCAACGCATCCAGCGTCGGCTGTGCTCCAATCCAATCCTAATTCTGATCCCGCCTGTCGCGGCCGTTAGCTGCAAACCGACCTTGTATTGGATCGTCACTGTTCGCCTCGAATTACCTTCGATACCGACCGGTATAGCAATCAAAACGCATTGAAGCGGATACGACCGATCTCGAGCAACTTAATTTGTCGCGCGCGCACCATGAAATGAAATCCTGTCGATTCACGACCTCAACTTTTAGCTAATCTGACCCAACCCGACTTTGAAATTGTTTCC